AGACTTGCTTATGCACGAAAAAATTAATCTGACCGTTGTGATATGTGAAAAGTTAACTCACATGAAAAATAGATCGACGTAAAAAAAAATATATATATATATAAAAGGAAGGTACAGAAAAAGCATAGATTAAAAAAATGTCAACATATAAAATGCCTATACATAAAAATTAAAATTAAAATTAAAACTAAAAGGAAGACACAAAATGCATCAATACAATTTACAATAAACTAAATAATTATAATAGCGGAAAAATGGTAAATTAGCAGAAAAATGGTAAATTAACCCACTCGTACTCTCAGTTGGCTTTTTAAGGGAAAAAAACTGATTGTTATGAAATAGGTTAAATACCATTACGCGTTTTCACCGAAACAGACCATTGAAAGCTCTTGTTTAATGCCAAAAAACTTTCATAAAAGAACATTAGTATTTCCGAAAAAAATTTTTTGGAATAAATCCTTTTTTGGAGCTTCACGTTCCTTTTTCCCGACGCGTCCGCTGGTTTATTCTAGGGTGTCAAGAGCTATTGCAACTCCGAGCAATGTAAAATTAAAATCAAAATCAAAATAGAATAAAAGAATAAAATAAACAGCGGTGTGCAAAATCCCTCCATGCTCAAACCAACCTTCCTTATCATCTAGTGACGTCGTTGGGCGAAACAATAAAATCTGAAGAGGCCAATCTGAAGAAGCCCCATTGTACTTGTAATTAAGAATATTAATTCAATTCAAATAGACCATATCCAATGCTACGACTTCGAAAACCTTTATACTATCTTACCACTTGAAGAAATTTATACCAGCTTACTTGCTCTACCAGATATAATTCCACAGATTTCGACAAATAATTGATTACGAAAAATGGCAACTTTATTCTTTCGAGACGTGCTTTTCAATAATTTTATTTCTCTTTAACAATAGCATCTTCAAACAAATTCAAGGAATCCCAATGGGTGGTAAATTTTTCGAAGCGCTGTCTGTCGAATTATTCCTTTTCACAAGAAGAATTGAATCTTTGTCCGTTCACCAGACAAAGAAGAACATAAATTTTACCAACACATATATCGTTACATTGATGATATCATAGCCTTTAACAACCATAACAAAATAGAAGCAGCTAATATCTACCCAACTAGCATAAAACTAAATAAAACAAAAATACAGGTGCAAAATAATGTAGTATACCTTGACCTAAATATTATTGATTACAATTTTATAAGTCTACGACAAGAGGAGAGAATTCACTTTTTCTATACTAAAGTTAACCAACTGGAATTCTAATATTTTCAAAAGAATCATCATTAACACAATTTTTTCACAGCTACTTAGAATAAAAAGGATACGTAATACTACAGAACACTTACAAGAAGAAATACTTTACTTCGTAACAATTTTGAAAAATAACCAAATTCCTCATAAAATAATAAAAAAAAAAAAAAATACCTTAAAAAAAGCTAGCATTAGCCTTACCAATTTTTAGATAATTTGTTTTGGATAATGAAATTTTATGCTTAAAGCCCACGGGAAGGCACAAAGTGGATGGCTGATTCAAATTATCTAATGTAAAAATTGTATAAATGTACAGATTATTCTTCTACATACATTTTCTTTCCTCCAAAGATTTTGGCACTATACTTTAATACTAATAATAGTTTTAAATTACGTAGAAGGCCAAACTCTACTTTTATTAACAAATCGGGCCTTTTCATTTTTCATAGTAGCTTGACCGCCCTCTGGCTTGAAGAATGACGACTTTTATTAACAAATGACTTTTTTCCAATTTACTCTTTCTTTTGTGGCCAAAAATTTAGCTGAATTAGCCATTTTCATTTATTTTAACAGTTTTGTTCTTCTAACAAATAGACTGACGCCATTTTGAGTTCTTTCCGTGTCTTTTCTCGTCTTTCACCCCCTTCTGTAAAAAAAAGGGGGGGACAAGAATTCCCGCCAACCTACAATCTCAGCCCATTGGCCTCTTCAGATTTTATTGTTTCACCCAACGACGTCACTAGACGAAAGGAAGGTTGGTTTGAGCATGGAGGGATTTTGCACACGCTTTTTCCAAAATTTTCCGGATGCGAAGGACGGAACCTCTCAGGTCAGTTTTTTCGTTTCTATTGTCTATTTGTTTTTTGGTCCTAACAAGACCCTGCGACGTTAGTTTTCTTACAAATTTAATTACATTTTTATTTGTTTACAGCACCATTCTCTTTATAAAAGTTCCATCTTCTTTAAGGTTTAAAGGACCAGCCCGTACGTTGTTGTAATTTTTGACTAATAGCAGACCGCTGTTTATTTTATTCTTTTATTCTATTTTGATTTTGATTTTAATTTTACATTGCTCGGAGTTGCAATAGCTCTTGACACCCTAGAATAAACCAGCGGACGTGTCGGGGGAAAAGGAACAGAGCAGTGAAGCTCCAAAAAAGGATTTATTCCAAAAATATATATATATATTCGGGAATACTAATGTTCTTTTAAAAAATTTTTTCACATTAAACAAGAGCTTCAATGGTCTGTTTCGGCGAAACGCGTAATGGTATTTAACCTAGTTCGACAATCAGTTTTTTTTCCCTTGAAAAGCCAATTGAGAGTATGAGTGGGGTAATTTACCATTTTTCGCTATTTAATTATAGTATTTAGTATTTTGTATTGTTGCATTTTGTGTCTTCTTTTTAATTTAAAAAAATGTTGTTTTTTTATATATTGAAATTTTTTTAATCTATGTTTTTCTGTACTTTCCTTAAATATTTTTTTCCGTCGTTCTATTTTTCATGTGAGTTAAGTTTTCACATATCACAACGGTCAGATTAATTTTTTCATGCATAAGCAAGTCTTCCAGCTTAATTTTAGCTGTTTTTTCAGTGTTTAGTTTTTTTTTCCAGTTTTTCCAGACTAATTTCTTCTTATTTATGTAATACTGTTTTAAAATATTTCGTGGAGCTACAGCTCCTGGTAACGTTTTAGCAAGATCGCTGCAATATTTCTACCTACTATATATATATAACACAATATTAGGCTAAAAATTAAAAGCATTTTTTTAAAACCCTTCCTGTGCTATGGCTGCAGGATTGAAGTAAAATAAACTTAAAGCATCTAAAGTAAATATTAAATTGGAATCAAAGCAAGGAAATTCCTCAACAATATTAATAATTGTAACTGTATATAAGATGTTTAACATAATATCTAAACAAATCAAAATTTAAATAAGATTTCATAGTAGAACAAACTCGAAAAATAAAAATGCGAGAGGGAAACTATACAAAGTTATAAAAATTAATCTCCCTTTACCAAAACTCCAATTCAGAACACATCAGGGGAAAATGAATTAAAGCATCAGAAAAGTCGATTAATATGTTTCGAAAACATGTTTCATTCTCTTGGTTCATATGAGATTTAAAAACGAAAAAAGATTCAATTAAATTTTCAATTAAAAGATTACAATTCATATAAAATTGATACAGATAGATATCTACACATATGATAGACGTCAAAGATATCATATTTAGATATGTCAAAGCTATCTGATATTTACTATGTTATGACAATAGATTGTTTTATATTATATAATAGTAGTATGTAAGAGAAAAAGCCATAATGTACCCAGTTTAAATTTTAATCTTGATTTTTAAAATGCATTATTTTCAAAATGACTAGTGTTACTGATTATGCACAATTGATAAAAGCATGATAAGTTTCTATTATAATTATTTCTTATTATCGTATCCATCATGGTAACAATTTCAAGACCACTGGATAATGAAAGTTCCATAGAAGCTGATTCTTTGACGGAAAGGATTATCTAATGAAACACCTTGTATATCAGTGTTCAACTGAATGATTAATTTGAGTCTGTGTACATGTATGTAATATTAATTACATGATTAATTTGCATATGTGTGTGTAATAAACAAAATTATATGAGGAAATATTTTTTAATAATGGACTAGCTGTAAATAATATCTGATTAATATTTGAAAGAGTAGTTCTTTATTCAAAAATGCATATAAAAACTGCTAATGTATAATAATTTTTTCATTAATAATATTTGCACTTTTTTTTTATATATGGTTCCAGTGTGGATGCCAAAAAAAATGTTGAAGCAGGGACACATTGAAAACATTTTAATCTCAGCAAAGCTACAGGTAAATTCTACAATAACTTTGATGGAAAAGTGGCTGATGTTTCATTATTTCTTGAGGAAAATGGCAACAGTACAGAGTTATATGTTACCTTTATTGGCTTGCAAGTTACCATTAAGGAACTTTTTTCTGTATCCATTAGTGATAAAAATATCACTTTATGACTGCCAGATTGTTTACAATTTTCTTTTGGTAAACAGATGACAATGGAATCTCTGCCATTATGGCATACTGGAAATGACCTGGAAAATGGCTTGGCCAAGGTTTCTGACTTACTTCAACCACATTCTGTTCTGCTGCCCATACGGGATAGTGGTTAGTGATGAGTAAAAAAGTAAAAATTAAGTAAATAAAAAACTTTATTACTTTATGTAATTTTTTTTACAATTTTTATATTAAGAGAACATTATTAATTGTAGAATTACTGAAACCATAAAACATTTATGGAAAAAATCAGAAAATAGCTCAGCTGTATTTGAACTTACAATCTACTGGTTTGCAGAAAATTTAAGCACTTTGGTAAATGCGCCAACTGATCAGTCTAGTTAAACATGGTTCAAAAGCTGAGAAACCATTAATAATAGAAAATTGGAAATACAGTCAGATGCAAACAAATGATAAATTAAGCTTTTCTTGTTTGTCAGAATTCTCAGAACATTAGAATTTAGCAAACAGAAAGACAGGGAAAAAAATATTCTAGCAGATTTAGTTAATGCTAATAAATGAAAAAAGTTTATCACTGTATAGCTTACAATGGCAAATCACTTGTACAAAGGGGAAATTATGATCTGAAAGAAATATCACATCATAAATTAATTAAATTTGTTAAAATAATAAAAAAAGTCCAAATGATTTATACCATGCTATTCAGTAACCTAAATGCTGAGAGTAACCACCACTGATTTTTGGATGTATGATTTCAATTTGCAATTTCATTGGCTGCCGCCAAATATGTCTCCGGGGACAATGCAGTCCATCATGCGCAATGATTACAACTCTGGTTAGGCACTGAAGATATGTATTCTGATGCCCTAGAAATAATATATTCCCTTGTGTAAACAGACTGCTACAGGCACACAGAATTGCAGAGACACTTTTTGACACTATTTTTTTGACTGGAAAATGCTGCAAACAATGAGCTGGGATGGTGACTACGAAATGTTGCAGTTGTGTTGAAGTATAAAGCAGTAGTTGCAGTCATAGTCAAATTAAATTTTATTTTTATTCTCTTGGTTATTTCATTTATTTTTTATATTTTACATTTATTAGATGATACAAAATAAATTGGGGCCTGTTTTAGAATGTTTTATATTTTTTAAGATAGCAGGTATCAGAAGGTCAGAAGCAGAAAGCAAGTTCGATATATCCGAGATGAAAGCTCGGTTTGATATAATCATGGTTTGAAATTTTCCTACCGAGTTAAAAATTCCAATATTGACTCTCTGAGCTTCACTTCAAGCAACCTTCTGCATCACCAGCATTATTTAAAAATCATATAACTTTTAAAAAAATTAGAAATGATGCAGTTTAAAGTAATAAACTACTAATATAGTTTCTTTAATAGTTTTGCTTTCTTCAGAAAGCAAGCATTGTGATTTTAGTTATAGAAATTATCATATAGCCCAGTTTTTGCTAACAAAGGCATCAACATATTTTCATCCATACATGTGTTTAAATAACACTGGCCCTTGCACAGAGCTAAATCAAAAAATTAAAATGACAAATGCTACATGTTGAAGATGCTATTACATTTTCTTGGTTAAATACTACATGGAAAATCATCTGTGTTATGACTTTTGAAAAGTACATGAGCATTTTACTAGATAAAAAAGGCCATAAACGCTTAAGCCATTTTCTGAAGCTTGCAAAAATCATCTTGATAAGTGACAGAAGAATGCAACAAAGCATATAACAGCTTGAACTGCTACATGCTCATTGGCAGTATCTGCAAAATGACTGGCAATCTTACTTGATGCTCATTAGAGAACAAGAGCACAATATTATCAGAGATATGTGCCTGCGAGATAAAATTAGTGCTAGTGTTGAAAAAAGAATTGAAGAAACAGCCTTACTCCTTTTTAAAAGCCTTCTTGTAAAAAATTAAGCAATATTAGGTACCAGAAATAACACTTATGAATGCAAATCACAGAATATTAAGTCAAGCCACACAAAAATAAAGACAAATTTATGAATTAGAGAAAAGTCAGAAGAAATACAGAGTAAATTTGGTTGATACAAAGTTGGGAGTCTCTCATTTAAATCAAATGATTTCACATCTCTGCACACCCTAAACATTGACTATTTAACAATGTAATATATGCTTAAAAAACACTAATATAGAGAAATGGAACCATAATCATTTCCCAACTAAATCATCATATGGCTTTAGGAAACTAACATTAGTCATATTCAGCAGGTATCTTCACAAACTGAAATTAAACAAAAATGAGTGACACATTAGCAGCAAATAATGTTCTTTATTCAATAATACACTAATATGTAAATATATCATGAATAATACAATCGTAAAAGTAAAGCAACAAACTTCTAGTACCAAAACAATACAAATTATACACATATCCCTCAATTCATTCTTTAAAAAAACACTTAAGCCTTCCAATATTTTGTGATAGTGTTCACTAACAATGACTGGGAAAAAAAAAGATAAAAATATTACATATGAATTATGAGTTTTCTATATGAAAATTACAAATCTTTTCTTGGTGCCTGAAAATATTAGTTCAGTTATTTAATTTCCCTTCTTATAATTAAATGTTTAGAACATAACAATGCAAGAAACTATTTTTAATGATTTCTTCTTCAGCATAAAGAGTTTTAACATCTCTTTCATTTCTTCAGCATCATTTGAATATGCCAGAGGAAAATTAGCAGAAGCAGAAAATACTTCTGATTTGACAACTGAACCATTAGGTTCATTTTGCATACCTATTTTCATTCTATTTTACATCTAATGAATGAGAATGAACTAAGAAATGAAGAGTCTAAAAAATATACATTACATTAAAAATATTAATTTTTGGACTAATATCCCATATTCTTTTACTTAAAAAATTTCAAAACTTCAATCTGCTTAGTTAGATTCCAGTACAAAACATAAAAAAATTTCGAATTTTTAAAAAGATTTACATGTGTATGGCAAAACAGGTTTTTCTTACAACCTAATTTTGGTTTCTCTTAAAACTTTGTGCTGCCCTCAAATAAAAATAATTTTTTGTATTTCGGAAAAAAGACTGACATTTCTTTTAACCATTCTTTTAACTATTTTCCACATCTAAAAATTATAAACTATGAAAAAAGCAGATTCTGCTTTAAGATGTGCAAGAGAAATGCACACTATTTTGCTACTGAATATTAAATTTCTCAATGTAAAAAGAAACTCACCAACAAAACTTTTAGATTAGTCAGCAACCGAAATATTGTTTCATGCAAATAAATCAAAATCCTGTAAATCTTTAAGTTAAAACATATGGCACATATAGTTTTTCTTCAGTTTTAAACTTGTTATAAAAGTCTTTGATGAACACACTCAATCCTAAATACTTAATTAGAGCATTTCTTTGGAACAAAAATATGGAGGGCATGCAATTATTTTCCTAGGCAGAAAACTATATGGCTGGAGGAGATAAGTAAATATTTTGGCTTTTGTTATACTTATTTCAAATAAAAACATGACAGGCCCAAAATAAGAAAATAAACACTGATAATAGAAAAGTAAGTAAGCACAAAAATATTCAAGCTTTGATGAAAGTAACTGTTTATGTCTGCAAAAAGTATAAAATGCCTCCTTTCACAACTAGAAATACTTGGTTTTTGTTAGTGCTCTATCAGCATGAGTTGGATCAGTCAATTTAGTCCAATCAGTCTGCCCAACAACAAAGCCAATTGCACGAAGTCGGTCTTGTTCTTTTCTTTCTTCAAGGTCAGCCCACCTTACCTAAAGGAGAAGAAAGAATACACTGAGAAACAATTTTTATGATAAAAAGGAAAATTCAAAATAACTCTATTTCCAGGCAGCACACAAAAGCCTTTTAATAAGTAAATCATATAAAAAGTGAAAAGAGAAATAATTGAGTTTATAAAAATCAAATGAACGAAAGTCACAAGTACCTATTGCTGTTCTTAAACAGCTTCTGCTCCACAAATAAGTAACCATATTCTTTAACTTATCACATTTTCAAAAAGTAAATCAAGCATGATTTAAGCATGTTAGATGATATGTTACTTTAACTGCATGAATGACACTAAATTAATACAAATTAAAACTAATATTTCATTTTTACAAATTCTTTTATCAGCTTTCGACTTTAATGGCACAGACTTACAATTAAGGTAAGATATTACATCATTTGATGCCACTCGTCTTCCTGCATTTTTAAAGCATTCAGAAACAATTAAATTTATAATTATTAGTAGCCAATATAACTTATAAATACTCCATTTGCCAGTAGGGTATTAATTATTTAATTATGCCCCTCTCTAAATCTTTTTTTTTTTTTTTTTTTTTTTTACAAAAATCCCATGAAGAGTATTCATAATGCAAACTATCATGAATATTCATAATGCAAACTGCTCTACTAGTTAATTATCTTATAGCAGAAAATCACAAAAGTCCCAAAATTAAGAGAATAAAATATGGCTAAAGTTTTGAATACAGAAAGAAAGTTTGTCACTTGCAGCATAAATAATTCTATACCACTATAGGGAACAGCAATTGTCTTATATCTGTCACTTGTTTTTGACAAACTTTTGGCCTCTAAATCCAAAAATAATCTTAGTTTTTGTCTATCATGTCAACTTTTGAAGCTACAGGACTCTTTATCTCAAAAGTCATACAAATATGCATGTAAAGGAAAATAAAGGGAAAACTTACTAAATATACTGCTCACAAAGAATAGTTCTATTTATAAAAAGGCTATATATAGTTACTGTAAGCTAAATTTCATTCATAATAATAGTAAAGTTTTTCCTCCAACCAGTAAACATACATATTAAGGTAAATATTTTCACTTATGGCCTTTTTCTGGAGAGTTTAATCTGTGGACATTCTGGTTTGGTGCTCCAACAATAGTCAGCTATCATATGTCAACAATAGTCAGCTATCATATGTCAACAATAGTCAGCTATATCCTATTTACCTTGGTACGATGCCTCTAAAACTGTAACCTTCAAATCTTGGTGGAATCGCTAATCTTTCTTATCACAAACTGCACCAGGATTTTTCACCAAGTTATCCAGATGGCTATGTAAGAAAGTGCAATTTAATAATCACATTACAACTAAGCATTTTGAAGTTCTTAAAAGTTGCTGGACAACTTTGTAATTGTGCAATTCCAAGAAAAAGAAAGTCTTTGACAATATTTTTGAATGCCCTGCCCCAAGTATTATTATGAGGTTCTATCACTGTTCTGATGAAATAAATGTTCTTCTGATCAAATGCTCATTGCCGAATCTGTGAACCATCAAACACACCCCCTTTCATCTTATCAAATGACAGGCTAAAAAATGCCGAAATGAGATACTTGAAACAGTCTCCTTCAATTGGCAAAGCTCTAATAAATTGCTTCGTGAGACCAAGTTTCTTATGCAGAGGGGATATATAATGTTCTTTTTGTTGACAAGTAGTTGATGTAAAATGTTTCAATCAGCAGGTTTCAGGTCAAATCCTGATGGCCAATTCGATGGCGTCAGAGCTTCTCACAAGCTCTGCTGTCCATTCGCATTGCTGTCTAGGGAGGAAGCCCATCCTTTTAGTGTCAACATAGACGATCCATTGGTGCATGCGATATTGCAACAAACAATGACTCTCTTTTTTATGTCTTCATATTCTTCACACAAACAAACTGAATGTCCTACTGGGACTGCTTCAAATAAATTTCCATTGTGGACGAGGACACACTTCAGGCTCCATTCTGAGCTATCCATGAACAATCACCATGGAGTTGTGTTATAGGTTGAAATTCCCAACTCTTTCATTAAACCAAGTATATTATGGCAAAACACGAATCCATCACCACTTCAAAAGTATCGGAGAAACACACTTTCTCTTGATTGAAAGTAGAATACCTTAGCTTCTTGTTCACAGGGGTGTTTGTGGGACCCCAAAAAATCCCCTGAAACTTTTACGGACTTACTTTTACCGACACTTTGGAGTTTTGAGAAGGGGGGGTGGAAGAGAGAAATGAAAAATTACAATTATGAAGTATTGAATGACCTAATTATAAAAGTTCAATGAATTACTTTTTTTGCAAAATTAATAACCATAAATTTTCAAACATATAAACTACTACATTTTATGTAAATATTTTAAATTACCTGAATTAATTCTTTAAAAAAAATTATCTAATTTCTGCTGCTTTTTTTTATTTTCTGATGTTTGTGGGATTGTCTTTCTTTTGTGGTGAATTTCATAATTGCAGGAAGGTTGACTTTTATTTTCCTCATTTACAGTTGAAGAAATTTCCTCGAGAACTGCACATGCAGAGGTAGAAGCAGTTTGCTTTTCTGCTAATGTAGAAGGTTTTTCAGAGGTGACTCATCTGAAATAGTTTTTAAGTCCTCTTGATATGTTTTCCAACTTCTGTTCATATTCAGTAAGAGATCTTTGTGAATTGGATCAGTCATTGGATATTTTTGAGCCATATTTTTCACATGAGGTTTCTTAGAAGCCATTAAATCATATTTAATAGTCTGCACTGCATCTAGGAAAATCAATCTTAAGAGAGGGTTCTATAGTCAGTGACAAGTGTATCCATTAAGTTGAATGCACTTTCCACTAATGGGCCATGGAAGCAGCTAAGGCAGGCTTTGACCAATTTAGCCAATGTAGGATACTTATAATCATTTGTGAAATCATCTTTTAAATTAAAAACCTTTAGACCAATATTTATCAATTGTACACACTTGACTTGATTTCCACTTTCATCAGATGTGTAGAGCATTCTTTGTGATATCAATATCACTCTGGTATAACCTTATTTCAGCTTCTACTTTTGACTTTCATTATCACTAAAAATATGGGACATAAAAGATGATAATTTTTCAAAAGCTAATATTGTACTGGTTTTACCTCTTACCTCTGGATCTAATGCTCTAAAACTAATTAGATATGCATTTTTAAGGGGTAATTTCTGTTTCATATGTTGTGCTGTATTAGTATAAGCTTTCATCAGAGAAATTTGGAATTCTTTTGCTATTGGATGATTTTTTGATAATTTCTTCAGGAGAGTGGAAGCTTCTGCAGCAGTAAATATTACTTTGCTAGGTAGATTGAATTCTGGATTTGTGACATCAACCTTTAATAAATCATTATAAGATGTGCACTCTATATTTTCTGGCTTCATAAAAAAAAAGAGAAAAATTTTGCCATCAATTTATAAATACTGGAATGTATTAAATGAAGCATTGGTTTTTTTGTTTCAAATAATTTAATATATGCGTTGAACTCTGGTAATACTGTTGAATATAATGCCATATGCAATAAAGTTTTGTTTTGCATAACAAATAACCCATTTAGTATTCTTTTTTTCCGAGTTAAAGCAACCTTTGTGAGTTGTTGGGAATGCAAGCAAGAATACACCCCTTCAACAATTTTTTTCTGAGCTGCAGAAATGTTTCTTTTATTGTATACAGTTTCAACATAAGAAAAATAATCCCCTTTATCAGTTTTATCTAAGTAGCGAAAATAAAATGCAATAAGAGCATCCCACAGATCTTTGATTCTTTCTAAAACACATAAAATGTACACCCACCTATGGTCTGGTCTCTTCAAGGGCTTAAGTTTTTTAATGGCAAGGGATTCACAGATTTTGAAAAATTTTCTCTTTTACTGCAGCTTTTCATATCAAAATAGATGTCATCAAACAAATCTTCTAAGTATCTATCAAAACATGAAGCAAATTTTTTTGCACAGTTATTAGCTGTGTGTGACATGTGTCACCATCAATATCTAATAAGTGGGGTGCTTTGTTTGATCGTAGTCTGGTTTCAACACCCTTTTTTTTTTTTCCACGCATGGTGTTACATGAGTCCATTAATACACTAATTAAGTTTGCCCATGGAATATTATTATCTTCAATAGTATTAACAACTGCTTTTAAAAACAGCTTCTGAATTGCAAGATTCCATCTTTAGAGATGCAAAATGATGAACTACAACTTCATTTGATTGTTGTCATAAAACTGCACCAATATTGCCAATATACTTTCTTGAGCATTGCTAGTACTTTCATCCAAATTTAGAGAAAATGGAGTCTCCTTTAAAGTTTTAATGATATTTTCCTTAATAGGTTTTGCGAGCCCTTATTTCATCTTATAACATGCAGTAATCCTGGACATTTCCAACGAGTTTAGTGCCATTTGATCGCGGCTCAACTGTTTGCAGAGTTCAATTAAATTGGGAGCTACATTGAAAGAAAGAGAATTCTCGGCGATAAACGAAGTTATTAATACCTCTTGGCATGCTTTTCTTGTCACTATATCCAATGGCCGAGCATCAGTCTCCAGTAAGTCATCAGTATTTTTTGAATTATCATAATTACTTAAGTCATTGAATGTCTAATGCACTTTGAATATTTTATGTGCGTCACAGTTTTAGAATGATTTGTGAAAGCCTTGAATCCTTCCCCACCATACTTCAGCAGTGAGTTACAAAAAAACACAATATGCTTGCCAGCAAAAATTTATTTTCTTGCACCATGTGCCGATGGTACCCCCCATTACCATCTCTCCATTCAATCCAATTCCACCTAAATGCATTCCGGACACCTTCTTCTATTGCATAATATCACTATTATTTAATCGAGAAATTTCATAGTGAAATTCTCTTGCGTACATAATAAAAAAATATTTCAATAAACGAAACGAAAATTTACACGTGCATCAATAAATGAAACGAAAATTTTACACAGCGGAGAAAAAAAAGTTGAGAAGCGATCAA